GCATTCGACCTATCTCCCTCTCCATCTGCAGCCATCTGCTCTTCCCTTTCACTCCCTGGCCCTTCTTTGCAGGCTGATATGACCTTAGCATGATTCATATCTCCTTCCTGTTCAGCCTCTCAGCTTTGTATGGTGTGTCTTCTCTGGTCACTACCCCTGAGACTTGCTTCAGCCTGTTTACCTCAAATTCTAGGACCTTTACCCTGGCTACTGCAGGTTCGACTTGTGCCTCCCAATTCTTCGTCTCCTTCTCCAACCTCTTTTCTCATTTCACAGAGAGCTCTTTCTCCATTTTTTCAGAAAGATCTCCTAATTTTCTCTCCCATTCTTGCTCTATCCTTTTCTGCTGCTCCTCCATCCATTCCTCCCTACCAGTACCATTGTCATCTGATCCCTGATTCCTGAGAGTCCCAACCATTTTTTTTTTTAGTGAAAGAGAGAAAGAAAGAGAAAAAAAATGGAGAGAGAGGGAGAAAGAGAGAGAAGGGGAGGGTAGAAGGAGAGAGGGGAAAAGAAGGGAAAAGGGGGAGAAAGTGAGAGAGAGGGAAAAGGTAACAGAGAGAGAGGGGGGAGTGACAAGGGAAGAGAGAGAGAGAGAGAGAGAGAGAGAGAGAGAGAGAGAAAGGGGAAGGGAGAGAGAGAGTAAGAGAGGAATAGAGAGAGGAAGAGAGAGAGGATGAGAGAGAGAGAGAGAGAAAGAGAGGAGGAGAGGGAGATAGACGGGGGGGGGAAAAGGAAGGGTTAGAGAGTCACTTCACAGGAAGGTGTGAAATCCTGTATATGTGTGTGTGTGTGTGTGTGTGTGTGTGTGTGTGTGTGTGTGTGTGTGTGTGCCTTACAGCAGATCCTGTTCTCACCTAGTGTGTGTGCATATGTTTATGTAAACAGTCCTTATTTCCCACGTATGTACTACATATGTATTGCATATGTACCCGATCTCTTGGTTCCCACTGTACTGTCTTATGCATTTAAAATTACGTTAAAAAATAAATACACTAGGCTTCGCCTGTATGCCGGTACCTCTAAATTCTATTAAATGCCAGTAAATGCTGCTTATTCTAATCTGATAGCTCGAGGAGAGCGACCCCCAATTCCAGCTTGAGACAGGTACTATTGACCTCATGCAACTCAAACTAGGTGAATATTACTTGTGGCTGGCAGTGGAGTAACGTTGCGGGTCCGTCCTGTCCCAGAAGTTGAAGATGCTTGATGCTTCTCGGTAATTTTTCCACTAACTTCCTCTATGCACTATAGTCTCTAGCTCATATAATTTTTTCACTCACTGTATTTACTGACACATCTATACATATCTCTTATCTCCCTGGTCTTGAGTCGCACTTATTCTTCAAATACCCCACTGCGTTATTATGGCAACACTATTTAGGCCTGACACAGCCGTTCATCTTCCTTCAACGGCCCCCACTAAACACTTAGTCACTATTTCCTTCTTTTTCTTTTCTGTGATCACTTATATTTCCTTTTTTCGGGGCTTAAGTGATTATATGCACTCTTATGCGTGCACACGCCTATATCCCACACTCTATTCCTTATGGCACAGTCAGAAATTACCACCAAAACACGAGCTCAAACCGCGGGACTCCTCCACGAGTGCGTGTGTGTGTGTGTGTGTGTGTGTGTGTGTGTGTGTGTGTGTGTGTGTGTTACCATTTTGTCCTAGGCACATGTCGATTAGACACTAGGCCTGTTCTATCGGTGTGTGTGTGTGTGCGTGTGTGTGTGTACTCGCCTAACTGTAGTTGCAGGGGTCGATACTCAGCTCCTGTCCCCGCCTCTTCACTGATCACTACTAGGTCCTGTCTCTCTCTCTGCTTCCTGAGCTTTGTCATACCTTTCTTAAAGCTATGTATGGTTCCTGCCTCCACTACATCACTTGCTGGGCTATTCCACTTCCTGACGACTCTATGACTGAAGAAATACTTCCTAACATCCCTGTGACTCGTCTGAGTCTTCAGCTTCCAATTGTGACTCCTTGTTTCTGTGTCCCCTCTCTGGAACATCCTGTCTCTGTCCACCTTATCTATTCCACGCAGTATTTTGCATGTCGTTATCATGTCTCTCCTAACCCTCCTGTCCTCCAGTGTCGTCAGTCCGATTTCCCTCAACCTTTCTTCGTAGGACATTCCTCTGAGGTGTGTGTGTGTGTGTGTGTGTGTGTGTGTGTGTGTGTGTGTGTGTGTGTGTGTGTGTGTGTGGGGTGTGTGTGTGTGTGTGTGCGCGTGTGTGCGTGTGTGTGCGCGTGTGTGCGCGTGTGTGCGTGTGTGCGCGCGCGCGCGCAGTATATACATACAGTACCCGAATTGTTATAAATTACTTATATATGGAGGCTCATAATTCATCTTGAAGTACCCTTTGTTTAACCTCTTCCTTTTTTTCTTCCTCTCTCCTCCCCTTTCCTCTTCTCGCCTCCCCTCTCTTCCTTTCCTCCTTCCTCTTCCTCGCCCCCTCCTCTTCCTTTCCTCTTTCCTCTTCTTCGCCTCCCCTCTCTTCCTTTCCTCCTCCCTCTTCTCGCCCCCCCATTCCATTCCTCCTTCCTCTTCTCGCCTCACTCTCTTCCTTTCCTCCTTCCTCTTCTCGCCCCTCCTCTTCCTTTCCTCCTTCCTCTTCTCGCCTTCCCTCTCTTCCTTTCCTCCTCCCTCTTCTCGCCCCCCCTTCCATTCCTCCCTTTCCTCTTCTCGCCTCCCTCTTCCTTTCCTCTTGTCTCCTCTCCTCTCTCTTCCTTTCCTCCTTCCTCTTCTCGCCTCCTCCCTCTTCTCGCCTCCTCCCTCTTCCTTTCCTCCTTCCTCTTCCTTTCCTCCTTCCTCCTCTCGCTTCCCATTTCCTCCTCGTGCTAAGCTTGATATTGTGGGACATGTGGGGCAAATGGTTGGGGAACGGGAGAGAGGAACGGGTCTGATAGCGCCTAGTGGTCACTGTTCGTCGGGCGCACCTCAATGTTAACTACGTGAGACATTTAGCACTGTATAGCAGTAAGCTGTTGAATGTAGGCTGGTGTTAGCAGGTGTTTGGATATGTACATAATTAAGAGTTTATGTAATGGTATAAGTAGGTGATTGAATAAATAAATATTGGCAGGTGTTCAACATGTGCAACAGCAGGTGTTGTGTGAAGGCGTGACACTGGAGGAAGCGTGACGGAAAAAAAGAGACAAATGAAGTATAACGCGATCCTTAATTGAGAGCGTTTCGCCCATACAGTGGGAGAGAGAGAGCGTATTGACGTGACGAATCAGGACGAGTCAGGAAACTTCGTCGTTATCCCACATAGTAACACATACATAAATAACCCACACATAATGGACTAAAGCGTCGTCATTACTTTGTCTCATGTGTGCGGGTTATTTGTGCATTGCTCCAGTCACGGTATTGTGCTTCTTTATTCTTTTTAGCAGCACATAATATGGAGGAGCACTGCAGCAGGCCTACTGACCCATGCTAGAAAGATTCTTTTCAAATCCAGCCTCTTCTCAGTCATATATTTCTCATTACTCTGTCCGGAACTCAGCTTCATCACACTTCATCTGACTTCACGTCACTACGTTCACTATAAATACGCACGTCCCCTCTCTCCAAATAGATCTTTTTGTGGCTTGATAAAGCCCACTGGGTGGAGGGGCGAAACGTTGACACTAAAATGTCACGTTATACTGCATTTGTCTGTCCATCATGTCCGTATTATGTACCATTTACCTCCATCCAGGAGTCGTGACACTGGAAGAGGTAGCAAGGGTGCCAGGAGTGGTGTTGATTGTGCCGCCCTGATGCTTTATTGATCACTGGCCACCTGGCCTCGCCCTTCGGGTGACGACCACGACTACAGGTTCACACCACGCCGTACCTGCAGGTCATAACACGGGGCCGGGCAGGTGGAGCGCAGAGGTTTGGCAGGGTAGGGAGGTGGCTGGGAAATATGGATAATTAGGTGGATCAGGACTATTTTATTTATATGAAACTGTAAACCCATGGTGTCATTCAGAGCAAGGGTTACTAAAGGCTTGATCCTCCTTTCACTCATCATGAGACTTAACAGGCTCCCTACCACTTGTTGACTACCTGTATTAAGCGGCACAAGTGCACTCAGAAAACAGAGACGTGGAACGGAATGGGGATGTGAACGCGAAACTAAATTCGTAAATGTGCGTAAAGCATATGTGAACATCATAGATTGAAAGAGCAAGGGAAATTGGAGGAATGTCTTAAGTCCTCTCCTGGAGCGGACATCTAGTACCTACTAATTCACTTTTACCCATCCTCTCCCAAGCCTTTTTCAGTTTCTTTTCGGTCATTCTCATCCTCTTTTCTCTCCCTTTACCCTCTCCATTTTCTCTCCTCCTGTCCTCTACTCTCAATTTTACCCCTTCTCTCCTTCCTTTTCTCTTCTCATCCTCCGTTGCATTCTCCTCTCTCTTCCCTTCCTTTTCCCCTGGTTCCCTTTCTAACTTTGCTGTCTCCTTCCCCTCCTCCCTAGAGTTCAGCTACACAAATTGTTATATTGCTTCCAGGCAGTTTTTATGATTTTTTTGGCAACATCATTTTTCTAAACGACTTCCAAAGGTTCCAGCAACATACAGCTGAAGACTAGCTACAATGTTTTTTTTTTTTCACGGATACAAATTATTTGTAAATTTAGGTCTTTTGTTCTTATTTCAGGTCTATTCACGTGTGTGTTCAGGTGGTGCTCGCGTTTATTTTCAGAAAGTGCAAATACAGTATATATAATTCTCTGATTTTAATACATAATGGAAAAGCAAAATTACAGTAAAATCCAGAATACTAAAAAAGTAATTCGACCACAGTGGAAGAGGGATAAATTTTTAGTTCATTAATGATATATCGGCCACATATATGGCATTAGTGCTGAACTGCCATAGCGTATTAGATTAATGTTTAGAAAAACTGACTTTTACATAATGTGCAGATATTTAGAACAAATTTCGTTTATTATATTGTTCTAAGGTCTACATATATTATTTTGTTTTTCAGGTAAGGTGTTCCACAGGAGCGTATAATGAAAACTTCGTAAGTACAAACTGAATTTTCAGTTTTCTTCTGGAGAGTATTTATTTCTATCAAGGTTTCCCTTTCTCGTATCTCTGTTCTAAATAGTGACTTTTTAAATGGTATGTTAGAAAGAATTATCCGTGAACAGTTTTACATCTATTTCTTTATTAGAAGCCACTTTTCTTGTTTGTTCAGTTATAATCCAGCGGACCAGACAAAAATATCTTTGTATTTGTCTAGGATAAAAGTTTTGAGGCGTCTGACAGATGGGTGGCTTTCCTTTTCTTGTAGTACAGCTGTAAACCTCGTCACTTATTGAGGCACCACCAGTGAGTGGCATCGCCAGGCGTCCTGTCGTGTTCTCAAGTCGCCGCTATACTGACATACTTAAAAAAGTTAAAAATGTGAATAATTTTATTAGGTGTGATTAGTATCGTTCTCCCGGTGAACACAATTACAACGGAAGTTGTAGTTGAATACCAGGGACCCAGGATCGAGCATTCACAACTTGGGTTTAGCAATATATGTGGATATTTATAATTGTGTGATAAAAAAAAATCACAAGTATTGTGACAGATGAATATCAAAAACAGTCAAAAGACATGAGAAAATGGTTGGTATAACATTTTCGCGATCACAAAACCTACTCATTAGTGCCATGGAATAGTACAGGCAAAGGGCATAGAAATTAATCATTACTCAGGAAACTGACGACAGCAACAAGATATTGAGTTAAATTTTATTTGTGATGCCAGAATTACTTGTCACGACCGCTGAATTGAGTATAAAACTTCCGTTTTAGCATTTACGCGCCCTTATGGTGCAGCGGTACAGTGTGGGAACTGGGAACACCAGGGTATGTGCCGCCATGTTATAACGATACAGTGTGGGAACTGGAAACACCAGGGTATGTGCCGTCATGTTATAACGATACAGTGTGGGAACTGGAAACACCAGGGTATGTGCCGTCATGTTATAACGATACAGTGTGGGAACTGGAAACACCAGGGTATGTGCCGTCATGATGTAAAGATACAGTGTGGGAACTGGGAACACCAGGGTATGTGCCGTCATGATGTAAAGATACAGTGTGGGAACTGGGAACACCAGGGTATGTGCCGTCATGATATAGCGATACAGTGTGGGAACCACTGAGTTGACCCAGGTTACTTACCATCATGATTCAAGGTTACAGTGTGGGAACGCTTCCTGGTTGATCAGAGTTCAAGCCCACGTGACGCCCTGTTTACATTTTTATATCTTGCCGTAAGAGTGATGTCACTGAGCACTTTAACTTTTAACCAAACAGACTTGTGAAGTCCAAGGCTATGATGCAGTATGACTTTTATTGTAAATTTATTAAATATAACTGAACATTGTGCCTTTAGAGCATTATATATGTAATTCATTGAACATAAATGACAGAAGTTTACCACGTGTAAAGATGGAGTGCTTACATGAACGCAACTCAACGCGTGCCCGCGCGCGCGCGCACACACACACACACACACACACACACACACACACACACACACACACACACACACACACACACACACACACACACACACACACACACACACACACACACACACTAAATTTATCCTCTTGACTTCCCTGGACCAGTTTTGTAATGTGCTTTTGAAGGTCCCTCAGCGGTAGGGAGGGAAAAAGGGAGAGATGTGGCGTCGCTCTCAAGAAACCGATTTAAATTTTATTGGTTGTTGTGAGATATTTATTTTTATGCCCACGGGCATCGTACGGCAGCATTTTTTTTTTTTTACATATTTGTCAACACTAAACTTTAGAACGCTCGCTAGAATGTTTTCTTTCATGTTTTTGTCAGATTTTAAACTTTATGAGGTAATAATCCACACAAATGTCGTCTCTTGTTAAAAATATTTTGTTTAGTTGATGCTATGTCGGCCTGTTTCTCTCTGTGTTAAGTGATTCCTACGAAATATTGGTCTGTACAGCCATGGAATATTATTTTTCTTAACACACCGGTCGTCTCCCTCCGAGGAAGGGTGACCCGAAAAAGAGGAAACACTTTCATCGTTACTCATTCAGTCACTGCCTTGCCAGAAGTGCACTGACATCCGAATTTCAGTATCCCGACCACTCCTTCAGAGTGCAGGCACTGTACTTCCCTCCTCCAGGAATCGACTCCGGTTATCCGGTTTTCCTGAATCCCTTCATATGGAATTATTATTTAAGATTTTATAATGGGGAAGCACCTAACCCGTGTGGATCATACAGCGTTTGGAGAATGTGTATGACTGTGTAATTACGTTTGATCAGAGAGAGAGAGAGAGAGAGAGAGAGAGCAGCTCCAGTTCCTTGGATCTCGAGCTTTTCACTGAAGGGCACAGGGATGGGAGATGCAGGTCTTCTCCTCAGATTGTTTCGCGTCACGTGAGTCAGTCTGCACTCTTTTACTTCATTATATTGTTGTTAGCCACAGGATTCACCAGTATCTTATTTAAGAACTTAGTGTGTGTTGGGACAGTGGAAGGGAAGTTGAAAGGAAGTTGGAGGGAGGAAGAGCGGGAATTAAATTTAAAATGGATGGAAGGGAAGGTTATGGATGCTACTTTCCTTCAGCATTCCTGACGGAAAACGATAATGAACAGGAGAGTGCAGCTTGTGAAGACTAATCATGCGCCGTCTCTTTCATACCCGAGTTACCCCTGAGTGCAAGGTAGTAGTACCATTATACCGTCTCTGTTATACCAAAGTTACCCTGAGTGATAGATAGTACCATTATACCGTCTCTGTTATACCAGAGTTACCCTGAGTGATAGTACCATTATACCGTCTCTGTTATACCAGAGTTACCCTGAGTTTTTCTGTTATACCAGAGTTACCCTGAGTGATAGTACCATTATACCGTCTCTGTTATACCAAAGTTTCCCTGAGTGATAAATCGTACTATTATACCGTCTCTGCCATACCAGGGTAACCATGAATGAAAGATGATAGCACCATTATTCGAGGCTGAAGGTTACAGGAGGAGTGCCAGGACTTGCACAAAAGTTTTCCCTGAGTGCTGGCTCCTTGTGTGTGAAGAAAGTTTTACTTAGTATTATTAAACAATAAAGACAGTCATTAATTTCCTGATGTTCACATTCATTCTCGCGGAGTTGTTGCTAGACTGAACTTGCGGTCAAATTCTTGGGCAAGACATTCGTTGTTGTAAAAGCTATGATCCCAAGCTCTGCTTGACAAGCACGGTGTAGATATGTATCGCATGAGAGAGAGAGAGAGGGGGGGGAGGGGGAGGAAAAGAAAGATTGTAGGGAAGGGAAGAACAGATAAATCGGGAAGTTCACTGATTGCAAGTCGCGAGTCATTGGAGCCAAAGAAAAGAAAGTTTAAAAAATGAGAAAAGAGAAGTAAAGAACGGGTGCAGGAATAATGAATGATGAAAAGGAGAATTGGAAAATTTAGAGGAAGATGAAAATTGAATCAAGTGACGACTACTATAGACAAATAAGAACAAATGTTAAGTATGGTAATAAGAAATTGAAAATGAAGTCTGATATTAAAGGTAGAAGGGAATGAGTGAAGAGACAAGAGAAAATTAGAAAAGGAAAGGATAGGAAAGGAAGAAAACTGATAGGAATGAAAGAAAGCTTGGAAAGAGCTTGGAAGGAAAATGAGAGGAAAGGGAATAAAGGGGAAGGGTAGCCTGTAAGGAAAATTAAATATGAGGGGAGGGTCAAAAAGAATGGAATTAGAGTAAGAAATGTGAGGGGAGAGAGGAAGGAAGAAGAGGAGCACCTTGAACCCGAGACAGAAAATCAATTTCTTCCAGAGGTGGGAAGACAGTAGTTACGAAGACGGTTTGTGGAGTAACGATGACGAGGGGAGGGAAGGAAGGAGGGGGTCATCTTTCCCCTCCCTCCACATTTGCTTATCTCCATCGTCATCTTTTGTCTTCTTGTTTTACCTTATCTCGCTTATCTCCGTGGCTTCACTTAGGTGCAATCATTCTTAATCCTTTTTTTTTTTTTGCACGCCATTCTTTTTATCTAGCTCCTCCTTCACCTTCTTTTCCAGTCCCGGGAGTAGTGTTACCCCCTGCACCTTCACAAGGCTTCTCTCACTTGTAGGTTATCGTGGTTTGCGTTATGTCTGGGGCATCGTTGTCTCACTGGTTTCCTCCAGGTGTATTTTTTGTTACTGCGTTAAAGTGAACAGGAAACCTTTTTGTGTAAGTTTGTGAGGAGTGTTATGAAAGAGGCGTGTTGCAGAGACTCAAGTGGTCACTGGTTTCTCAGTGTGACGGGATAGCTGCCCCCATCTACCTGCTCTCTGAGCTTTGAGTTTTCTCTTTATACTTTTCATTATTATGTAACGTAAACACGCAGGCGATCCTTTGGGACGTCAGGAAATACATTTTCAACCTCAGAGTAATGATAGAGTGCGACGATCCAAATAAGTAGGCGGAGGTTCACACTGTACACAGGTTCATGAAAAGGTACGCTCGAAACATAGAGATGACGGATCAATAAAGCCTGGTTTAGTAATTAAGTGGTCGATTGTAATTAGCCAGGAGATATGAGTCATCGGTTAAATGTAATTACGCGAGTACCTAAGTATACAGGAAACAAAACATTCTCTCTCTCTCTCTCTCTCTCTCTCTCTCTTCTCTCTCTCTATATATATATATATATATATATATATATATATAATTATATATATATATATATATATATATATATATATGTATAATATATATATGTATATATATATATATATATATATATATATATATATATATATATATATATATATATATATTATATATATATATGTCGTGCCAATAGAAATTGCGATCTTGCGTAAATAGCAACGCTCATATTGCCATATAGGAAGTGAAAATTTGTGTATGAATATATTCACCAAAATCATTCTGATACCTAACGAAAAAAATATATTTCATTGTATTATGATTAATATAATTATTGTAACGTAATTAAAATAATTTAGTTGGGTTGGCTAAAATAAATTGC